AGTTCTATTGGGTAAATACCACTGGTGCGAAAAACAAACATTGGGTTTCATGGGATAAGATGTGTCTGCCAAAGAAAGAAAGGGGTTTGAGCTTCTGATCTATACAGGATGTATCAAAAGCTTTGGTAGCAATGCTTTGGTGGATTTTCAAGGTGAGCACATCTCTATAAATTGAGAAGAAGTATTACTAAAAATGTGTTGCTATAGGAGATAATAAGAGATATAAACAAAAGAAAGAAGTTGCAAAATATGGTAGTTAAGCTTGACATGGTTAACGCTTATGATAGAGTAATATGTATTTGCCTTACTAAAGTGTTAAGGAAATTAGGGTTTGCAGAATTGATTATAGATATGATATGGAGACTGTTATCTAACAACTGGTACTCTGTCCTTTTGAATGGACAGTCTATTGGATTTTTTAAGTCTTCAAGGGGTCTCAAACAAGGAGATCCTATTTCTTCAACTTTATTCATTACTGGAGCTGAAATTTTATCCAGAAACTTAAACATGTTGTTTGAGAATACTAATTTCAAAGGATATGATTTTCCAAAATGGAGTTCTGAAGTGAATCATTTATCATATGCAGATGATACCATCTTATTTTTCTCTGGACAATCTACTTCTATGAGAATGATGTCCTGTTTTCTATGGGAGAAAGAATAATGCTCATTTTGAAGATTTAGTGAAAAAGGTGATGAAGAGGATCAACTCTTGACATAATAGCTTTGACTTTTGGTGGGTAGTATATACTGATATCTCATGTGCTTCAATCAATGTCTATATACCTACTTTCAGCTATGAATCCACCAGTCAGTGTTATTAATCAGCTTCATAGTATCTTTGCTAAGTTCTATTGGGTAAATACCACTGGTGCTAAAAACAAGCATTGGGTTTCATGGGATAAGATGTGTCTGCACAAGAAGAAAAGGGGTTTGAGCTTCAGATCTATACAGGATGTATCAAAAGCTTTGGTGGATTTTCAAGGTGAGCACATCTCTATAAAGTGCGAAGCAGTATTACTAAAAAATGTGTTGCTATAGGAGATAATAAGAGATATAAACAAAAGAAAGAAGTTACATAATGTGGTAGTTATGCTTGACATGGCTAAGGCTTTTGATAGAGTAACATGTATTTGCCTTACTAAAGTGTTAAGGAAGTTTGGGTTTGCAGAATTGATTATAGATATGATATAGAGACTGTTATCTAACAACTGGTACTCTGTCCTTTTGAATGGACAGTCTTTTGGATTTTTCAAGTCTTCAAGGGGTCTCAAACAAGGAGATCCTATTTCTCTGACTTTATTCATTACTGGACTGGAAATTTTATCGAGAAACTTAAACATATTGTTTGAGAATACTAATTTGAAAGGATATGATTTTCCAAAATAGAGTTCTGAAGTGAATCATTTAATCATATGCAGATGATACCATCTTATTTTTCTCAGGACAATATAACTTCTATGAGAGTGAGGTCCTGTTTTCTATGGGAGAAAGAATAAGGCTCATTTTGAAGATTTAGTGAAAAAGGTGATGAAGAGGATCAACTCTTGACAGAATAGGTTTGACTTTTGGTGGGAAGTATATTCTGATATCTCATGTTCTTCAATCAATGTCTATATATCTAATTTCATATTTGAATCCACCAGTCAGTGTTATTAATCAGCTTCATAGTATCTTTGCTAAGTTCTATTGGGTAAATACCACTGGTGCTAAAAACAAACATTGGGTTTCATGGGATAAGATGTGTCTGCCTAAGAAGGAAAGGGGTTTGAGCTTCAGATCTATACAGGATGTATCAAAAGCTTTGGTAGCAAATCTTTGGTGGATTTTCAAGGTGAGCACATCTCTATAAAGTGTGAAGAAGTATTACTAAAAATGTGTTACTATAAGAGATAATAAGAGATCTAAACAAAACAAAGAAGTTTAATAATGTGGTAGTTAGCCTTGACATGGCTAAGGCTTATGATAGAGTAACTTGTATTTGCCTTACTAAAGTGTTATGGAAGTTTGGGTTTGCAGAATTGATTATAGATATGATATGGAGACTGTTATCTAACAACTGGTACTCTATCCTTTTGAATGGACAGTCTTTTGGATTTTTCAAGTCTTCAAGGGGTCTCAAACAAGGATATCCTATTTATCTAACCTTATTCATTACTGGACCTGAAATTTTATCCAGAAACTTAAACATGTTTTGTGAGAATACTAATTTCAAAGGATATGAGTTTCCAAAATGGAGTTCTGAAATGAATCATTTATCATATGCAGATGATACCATCTTATTTTTCTCAGGACAATCTGCTTCTATGAGACTGATGTCCTGTTTTCTATGGGAGAATGAATAAGGCTCATTTTGAAGACTTAGTGAAAATGGTGATGAAGAAGATCGACTCTTGACAGAATAGGTTAGACTTTTGGTGGGAAGTACATACTGATATCTCATGTGCTTCAATCAATGTCTATATACCTACTTTCAGCTATGAATCCACCAGTCAGTGTTATTAATCAGCTTCATAGTATCTTTGCTAAGTTTTATTGGGTAAATACCACTGGTGCTAAAAACAAGCATTGGGTTTCATGGGATAAGATGTGTCTGCCCAAGAAGGAAAGGGGTTTGAGCTTCAGATCTATACAGGATGTATCAAAAGCTTTGGTAGCAAATCTTTGGTGGATTTTCAAGGTGAGCACATCTCTATAAAGTGCGAAGAAGTATTACTAAAAATGTGTTACTATAAGAGATAATAAGAGATCTAAACAAAAGAAAGAAGTTGCATAATGTGGTAGTTAAGCTTGACATGGCTAAGGCTTATGATAGAGTAACTTGTATTTGCCTTACTAAAGTGTTAAGGAAGTTTGGGTTTGCAGAATTGATTATAGATATGATATGGAGACTGTTATCTAACAACTGGTACTTTGTCCTTTTGAATGGACAGTCTTTTGGATTTTTCAAGTCTTCAAGGGGTCTCAAACAAGGACATCCTATTTATGTAACCTTATTCATTACTGGACCAGAAATTTTATCCAGAAACTTATACATGTTGTGTGAAAATACTAATTTCAAAGGATATGAGTTTCCAAAATGGAGTTCTGAAGTGAATCATTTATCATATGCAGATGATACCATCTTATTTTTCTCAGGACAATCTGCTTCTATGAGACTGATGTCCTGTTTTCTATGGGAGAATGAATAAGGCTCATTTGAAGACCTAGTGAAAATGGTGATGAAGAAGATCAACTCTTGACATAATAGGTTAGACTTTTGGTGGGAAGTATATACTAATATCTCATGTGCTTCAATCAATGTCTACATACCTACTTTCAGCTATGAATCCACCAGTCAGTGTTATTAATCAGCTTCATAGTATCTTTGCTAAGTTTTATTAGGTAAATACCACTGGTGCTAAAAACAAGCATTGGGTTTCATGGGATAAGATGTGTCTGCCCAAGAAGGAAAGGGGTTTGAGCTTCAGATCTATACAGGATGTATCAAAAGCTTTGGTAGCAAAGCTTTGGTGGATTTTCAAGGTGAGCACATCTCTATAAAGTGCGAAGAAGTATTACTAAAAATGTATTGCTATAGGAGATAATAAGAAACATAAACAAAAGAAAGAAGTTGCATAATTTGGTAGTTAAGCTTGACGTGGCTAAGGCTTATGATAGAGTAACATGTATTTGCCTTACTACAGTGTTAAGGAAGTATGGGTTTGAAGAATTGATTATAGATATGATATGGATATTGTTATCTAACAACTGGTACTCTGTCCTTTTGAATGGACAGTCTTTTGGATTTTTCAAGTCTTCAAGGGGTCTCAAACAAGGAGATCCTATTTCTCCAACTCTATTCATTACTGGTGCTGAAATTTTATCCAGAAACTTAAACATGTTGTTTGAGAATATTAATTTCAAAGGATATGATTTTCCAAAATGGAGTTCTGAAGTGAATCATTTATCATATGCAGATGATAACATCTTATTTTTCTTAGGACAATCTACTTCTATGAGAATGACGTCCTGTTTTCTATGGGAGAAACAATAAGGCTCATTTTGAAGATTTAGTGAAAAAGGTGATGAAGAGGATCAACTCTTGACGGAATATGTTTGACTTTTGGTGGGAAGTATATATTGATATCTCATGTGCTTCAATCAATTTCTATATACCTACTTTCAGCTATGAATCCACCAGTCAGTGTTATTAATCATGTTCATAGTATCTTTGCTAAGTTCTATTAGGTAAATACCATTGGTGCTAAAAACAAGCATTGGGTTTCATGGGATAAGATGTGTCTGCCCAAGAAGGAAAGGGGTTTAAGCTTCAGATATACACAGGATGTATCAAAAGCTTTGGTGGATTTTCAAGGTGAGCACATATCTATAAAGTGCGAAGAAGTATTACTAATAATGTGTTGCTATAGGAGATAATAAGAGATATAAACAAAAGAAAGAAGTTGCATAATGTGGTAGTTAATCTTGACATGGCTAAGGATTATAATAGAGTAACATGTATTTGCCTTATTAAAGTGTTAAGGTATTTGGGTTTGAGGAATTGATTATAGATATGATATGGAGACTGTTTTCTAACAACTGGTACTCTGTCCTTTTGAATGGACAGCCTTTTGGATTTTTCAAGTCTTCAAAGGGTTTCAATCAAGGAGATCCTATTTCTCCAACTTTATTCATTAGTGGAGCTGAAATTTTATCCTGAAACTTAAACATGTTGATTGAGAATACAAATTTCAAAGGATATGATTTTCCAAAATAGAGTTCTGAAGTGAATCATTTATCACATTTAGATGATACCATCTTATTTTTCTCAGGACAATCTGCTTCTATGAGAATGATGTCCTGTTTTCTATGGGAGAAAGAATAAGGCTCATTTTGAAGACTTAGTGAAAAAGGTGATGAAGAGGATCAACTCTTGATAGAATAGGTTTGACTTTTGGTGGGAAGTATATACTGATATCTCATGTGCATCAATCAATCTCGATATACGTACTTTGAGCTATGAATCCACCAGTCAGTGTTATTAATCAGCTTCATAGTATCTTTGCTAAGTTCTATTGGGTAAATTCCACTGGTGCTAAACACAAGCATTGGGTTTCATGGGATAAGATGTGTTTGCACAAGAAGGAAAGGGGTTTGAGCTTCAGATCTATACAGGATGTATCAAAAGCTTTGGTGGATTTTCAAGGTGAGCACATCTCTATAAAGTGCGAAGAAGTATTACTAAAAATGTATAGCTATAGGAGATAATAAGAAACATAAACAAAAGAAAGAAGTTGCATAATGTGGTAGTTAAGGTTGACGTGGCTAAGGCTTATGATAGAGTAACATGTATTTGCCTTACTACAGTGTTAAGGAAGTATGGGTTTGAAGAATTGATTATAGATATGCTATGGAGACTGTTATCTAACAACTGGTACTATGTCCTTTTGAATGGACAGCCGTTTAGATTTTTCAAGACTTCAAGGGGTCTCAAACAAGGAGATCCTATTTCTCCAACTTTATTCATTACTGGAGCCGAAATGTTATCCAGAAACTTAAACATGTTGTTTGAGAATACTAATTTCAAAGGATATGATTTTCCAAAATGGAGTTCTGAAGTGAATCATTTATCATATGCAGATGATACCATCTTATTTTTCTCAGGACAATCTACTTCTATATGACGGATGTCCTGTTTTCTTTAGGAGAAAAAATAAGGATCATTTTGAAGAATTAGTGAAAAAGGTGATGAAGAGGATCAACTCTTGACAGAATAGGTTTGACTTTTGGTGGGAAGTATATACTGATATCTCATGTCCTTCAATCAATGTCTATATACCTACTTTCATCTATGAATCCACCAGTCAGTGTTATTAATCAGCTTCATAGTATCTTTGCTAAGTTCTATTGGGTACATACCACTAGTGCTAAAACACAAGCATTGGGTTTGATGGGATAAGATGTGTCTGCCCAAGAAGGAAAGGGGTTTGAGCTGCAGATCTATACAGGATGTATCAAAAGCTTTGGTGGATTTTCAAGGTGAGCACATCTCTATGAAGTGCGAAGAAGTATTAGGAAAAATGTATTGCTATTGGAGATAATAAGAGATATAAACAAATGAAAGAAGTTGCATAATGTGGTGGTTAAGCTTGACATGGCTAAGGCTTATGATAGAGTAACATGTATTTGCCTTACCAAAGTGTTAAGGAAGTTTGGGTTTGCAGAATTGATTATAGATATGATATGGAGACAATTATCTAACAACTGGTACTCTGTCCTTTTGAATGGACAGTCTTTTGGATTTTTCAAGTCTTGAAGGGGTCTTAAACAAGGAGATACTATTTCTCCAACTTTATTCATTACTGGACCTGAAATTTTATCCAGAGACATCAACATGTTGTTTGAGAATACTAATTTCAATGGATATGATTTTCCAAAATGAATTTCTGAAGTGAATCATTTATCATATGCAGATGATACCATCTTATTTTTATCAGGACAATCTACTTCTATGAGAATGATGTATTGTTTTCTATGGGAGAACGAATAAGGCTCATTTTGAAGATTTAGTGAAAAAGGTGATGAGGAGGATCAACTCTTGACAGAATAGGTTTGACTTTTGGTGGGATGTATTTACTGATATCTCATGTGCTTCAATCAATGTCTATATACCTACTTTCAGCTATGAATCCACCAGTCAGTGTTATTAATCAGCTTCATAGTATCTTTGCTAAGTTCTATTGGGTAAACACCACTGGTGCTATAAACAAGCATTGGGTTTCGTGGGATAAGATGTGTCTGCCCAAGAAAGAAAGGGGTTTGAGCTTCAGATATATACAGGATACATCAAAAGCTTTAATAGCAAAGCTTATGTGGATTTTCAAGGTGAGCACATCTCTATAAAAGTGCGAAGAAGTATTACTAAAAATGTGTTGCTATAGGAGATAATAAGAGATATAAAGAAAAGAAAGAAGTTGCATAATGTGGTAGTTAAGCTTGACATGGCTAAGTCTTATGATAGAGTAACATGTTTTTGCCTTACTAAAGTGTTAAGGAAGTTTGGGTTTGAAGAATTGATTATAGATATGATATGGAGACTGTTATCTAACAACTGGTACTTTGTCCTTTTGAATGGACAGTCTTTTGGATTTTTCAAGTCTTGAAGGGGTCTCAAACAAGGAGATCCTATTTCTCCAACGTTATTTATTACTGGGCCTGAAATTTTATCCAAAAACTTAAACATGTTGTTTGAGAATACTAATTTCAAAGGATATGATTTTCCAAAATGGAGTTCTGAAGTGAATCATTTATCATATGCAGATGATACCATCTTATTTTTATCAGGACAATCTACTTCTATGAGAATGATGTCTTGTTTTCTATGGGAGAACGAATAAGGCTCATTTTGAAGACTTAGTGAAAAAGGTGATGAAGAAGATCAACTCTTGACAAAATAGGTTTGAATTTTGATGGGAAGTATATACTGATAACTCATGTGCATCAATCAATGTCTGTATACCTACTTTCAGCTATGAATCCACCAATCAGTGTTATTAATCAGATTCATAGTATCTTTGCTAAGTTCTATTGGGTAAACACCACTGGTGCTATAAACAAGCATTGGGTTTCATGGGATAAGATGTGTCTGGCCAAGAAAGAAAGGGGTTTGAGCTTCAGATATATACAGGATACATCAAAAGCTTTAGTAGCAAAGCTTATGTGGATTTTCAAGGTGAGCACATCTCTATAAAGTGCGAAGAAGTATTACTAAAAATGTGTTGCTATAGGAGATTATAAGAGATATAAAGAAAAGAAAGAAGTTGCATAATGTGGTAGTTAAGCTTGACATGGCTAAGTCTTATGATACAGTAACATGTTTTTGCCTTACTAAAGTGTTAAGGAAGTTTGGGTTTGAAGAATTGATTGTAGATATGATATGGAGACTGTTATCGAACAACTGGTACTCTGTCCTTCTGAATGGACAATCTTTTGGATTTTTTAAGTCTTCAAGGGGTTTCAAACAAGGAGATCCTAGTTCTCCAACTTTATTCATTACAGGACCTGAAATTTTATCCAAAAACTTAAACATGTTGTTTGAGAATACTAATTTCAAAGGATATGATTTTCCAAAATGGAGTTCTGAAGTGAATCATTTATCATATGCAGATGATACCATCTTATTTTTATCAGGACAATCTATTTCTATGAGAATGATGTCCTGTTTTCTATGGGAGAACGAATAAGGCTCATTTTGAAGACTTAGTGAAAAAGGTGATGAAGAAGATCAACTCTTGACAAAATAGGTTTGAATTTTGATGAGACGTATCTACTGATATATCATGTGCATCAATCAATGTCTATATACCTACTTTCAGCTATGAATCCTCCAGTCAGTATTATTAATCAGCTTCATAGTATCTTTGCTAAGTTCTATTGGGTAAATTCCACTGGTGCTAAAAACAAGCATTGGGTTCATGGGATAAGATGTGTCTGCCCAAAAAGGAAAGGGGTTTGAGCTTCAGATCTATACAGGATGTATCAAAAGCTTTGGTGGATTTTCAAGGTGAGCACATCTCTATAAAGTGCGAAGAAGTATTACTAAAAATGTATTGCTATAGGAGATAATAAGAGATATAAACAAAAGAAAGAAGTTGCATAATGTGGTAGTTAAGCTGGACGTGGCTAAGGCTTATGATAGAGTAACATGTATTTGCCTTACTAAAGTGTTTAGGAAGTATGGGTTTGAAGAATTGATTATAGATATGATATGGAGACTGTTTTCTAACAACTGGTATTCTGTCCTTTTGAATGGAAAGTCTTTTGGATTTTTCAAGTCTTCAAGGGGTCTCAAACAAGGAGATCCTATTTCTCTGACTTTATTCATTACTGGACTGGAAATTTTATCGAGAAACTTAAACATATTGTTTGAGAATACTAATTTGAAAGGATATGATTTTCCAAAATAGAGTTAGGAAGTATGGGTTTGAAGAATTGATTATAGATATGATATGGAGACTGTTTTCTAACAACTGGTATTCTGTCCTTTTGAATGGAAAGTCTTTTGGATTTTTCAAGTCTTCAAGGGGTCTCAATCAAGGAGATCCTATTTCTCCAACTTTATTCAATACTGGAGCTGAAATTTTATCCAGAAACTTAAAGATGTTGTTTGAGAATACTAATTTCAAAGGATATGATTTTCCAAAATGGAGTTCTGAAGTGAATCATTTATCATATGCAGATGATACCATCTTATAGTTCTCAGGACAATCTACTTCTATGAGAATGATGTCCTGTTTTCTATGGGAGAAAGAATAAGGCTCATTTTGAAGATTTAGTGAAAAAGATGATGAAGAGGATCAATTCTTGACAGAATAGGTTTGACTTTTGGTGGGAATTATATACTGAAATCTCATGTGCTTCAATCAATGTCTATATACCTACTTTCAGCTATGAATCCACCAGTCAGTGTTATTAATCAGCTTCATAGTATCTTTGCTAAGTTCTATTGGGTAAATACCACTAGTGCTAAAAAACAAGCATTGGGTTTCATGGGATAAGATGTGTCTGCCCAAGAAGGAAAGGGGTTTGAGCTTTAGATCTATACAGGATGTATCAAAAGCTTTGGTGGATTTTCAAGCTGAGCACATCTCTTTAAAGAGCGAAGAAGTATTACTAAAAATGTGTTGTTATAGGAGATAATAAGAGATATAAACAAAAGAAAGAAGTTGCATAATGTGGTAGTTAAGCTTGACATGGCTAAGGCTTATGATAGAGTAACAAGTATTTGCCTTACTAAAGTGTTAAGCAAGTTTGGGTTTGCAGAATTTATTATAGATATGATATGGATATTGTTATCTAACAACTGGTACTCTGTCCTTTTGAATGGACAGTCTTTTGGATTTTTCAATTCTTCAAGGAGTATCAAACAAAGAGATCCTATTTCTCCAACCTTATTCATTACTGGACCTGAAATTTTATCCAGAAACTTAAACATGTTGTTTGGGAATAATAATTTCAAAGGATATGATTTTCCAAAATGGAGTTCTGAAGTGAATCATTTATCATATGCAGATGATACCATCTTATATTTCTCAGGACAATCTACTTCTATGAGAATGATGTCCTGTTTTCTATGGGAGAAAGAATAAGGCTCATTTTGAAGATTTAGTGAAAAAGGTGATGAAGAGGATTAATTCTTGACAGAATAGGTTTGACTTTTAGTGGATAGTATATACTGATATCTCATGTGCTTCAATCAATGTCTATATACCTACTTTCAGCTATGAATCCACCAGTCAATGTTATTAATCAGCTTCATAGTATCTTTGCTAAGTTCTATTGGGTAAATTCCACTGGTGCTAAAAACAAACATTGGGTTTCATGGGATAAGATGTGTCTGCCCAAGAAGGAACGGGGTTTGAGCATCAGATCTATACAGGATGTATCAAAAGCTTTGGTGGATTTTCAAGGTAAGCACATCTCTATAAAGTGCGAAGAAGTATTACTAAAAATGTATTGCTATTGGAGATAATAAGAGATATAAACAAAAGTAAGAAGATGCATAATGTGGTGGTTAAGCTTGACAAGGCTAAGGCTTATGATATAGTAACATACATTTGCCTTACTAAAGTGTCAAGGAAGTTTAGGTTTGCAGAATTGATTATAGATATGGTATGGAGACTGTTATCTAACAACTGGTACTCTGTCGTTTTGAATGGAAAGTCTTTTGGATTTTTCAAGTCTTCAAAGGGTCTCAAACAAGGAGATTCTATTTCTCCAACTTTATTCATTACTGGACCTGAAATTTTATCCAGAAACTTAAACATGTTGTTTGAGAATACTAATTTTAAAGGATATGATTTTCCAAAATGGAGTTCTGAAGTGAATCATTTATCATATGCAGTTGATACCATCTTATTTTATCAGGACAATCTAATTCTATGAGAATGATGTCCTGTTTTCTATGGGAGAAAGAATAAGGCTCATTTTGAAGATTTACTGAAAAAGGTGATGAGGAGGATCGACTCTTGACAGAATAGGTTTGACTTTTGGTGGGAAGTATATACTGATATCTCATGTGCTTCAATCAATGTCTATATACCTACTTTCAGCTATAAATCCACCAGTCAGTGTTATTAATCAGCTTCACAGTATCTTTGCTAAGTTCTATTGGGTAAATACCACTGGTGCTAAAAACAAACATTGGGTTTCATGGGATAAGATGTGTCTGC